GTTGGCCTTTAAAAGAGAAGCATAATAATAAGTTAAGTGTTGTCGAGATGAGAATGATTAGGTGGATGAGTGGCTTTACACTTAGAGACAAAATGCGGAATGAATATATTCGTGATAGGGTTGGTGTAGCTCCTGTGACAGACAAAATTAGAGAAAGTCGCCTTAGATGGTTTGGTCATATTAAACGTCTACCATTAGATGATCCGATTAGGAGAGTAGATGTTTTAAATTCGACTTGTGTTAAGAAAGTCAGAGGTAGACCTAGGAAGACTTGGGCTTATTGTATTAAAAATGATCTTAATTTACTAGAACTAAATGAAAATATGACACTAATAGGACGCAATGGAGAAAAAGGATTCATGTAGCCGACCCCACGTAGTGGGATTAAGGCTTTGTTGTTGTTGTTGTTGGTGGTGATGAAGAAATGACAATTGCTGCAATGGAGCTACAAAGTGATTGCTTTTCGAGCTATGATGGCCATAGAAATGAAACATCTTTATGTGTACTTGAAAGAATACATTTCCTATAGTACCTTAAAGAATGAGTTATTTCTTCACATGTGCCCTCAGTCAACGGATGGTACCTCGAGGAGTACTGTGCATCATGATGTTTTGAAGACATCTCGTTTTTTGAAGTACTAATGCCACGCTTGTCTGAAAATAGGTCCAGATCCTGAAAAAATAATACCAAAAAACTCACAAAACTCAAATGACAATAAAAAATAAACAAAAATCACGTCAAACCACAACAAAAAAGATAAACTCGGCATCAAATCAAATAAAATCAAAACAATCAAAAATCAAAATTAAAACCAAAATCTCAAAATTCAAATTTCAACCTGGTTAGGTTGAGCATTCTCAATCCATTGCTCGCGTCATCTCTTTTCTCAGGGCGAACTTTCCTTCCACAGGAAGCTCGGTCCTCTGTCTCGCATGGGAGAGGCTAGTTGGTTCCACCTACTTAAAACCGCACTCTTTTTTGTCTTTTGTCTTGTGTTAATGAAGGATGACGGTTTATTCATTATGGAACTGCACCTCCTTTCACACCGGCAATTCTTCGATCAGTATTTGAGTCAAATGTAAGTCTCCTAACATTTCTTTTCAATCTGATTCCTTCCTACAAATATTTTCCAAAATATTACAAACTTTCACAAATTTAAATGAATTTCATAACCTCTGTAAATTTTCACAAAATTTTCATAAATTCAAAATCTTCACAAATCTATAAGTTTCTATAAATTTCATAAATTTCCATAACTTCATAAAATTTCCACATAAACTCTGGATCCTATCATTTTGCGTGAAATAGGTTAGTTGGTTCTATTGATATGGAACCGCACTCTTCTTAATCATTCCGTACCGTGCGAAAAATTTTTGGCAAGTCATGTCCTAGAACTGCATACCTCTTACATCTTTCTTTGTTCGCTCCACGACACTTCAATACTCTACAAATTTTCACAAATCCCCATAATTCCACCACTTCAACACTTCTATGAATTTTGTCATTCCTTCCACTTCGCAGGCTCCGCACTTCTACAATTCTCAGCACTCAGCATTTGGGATAGGTGTAAGTCCCCCTAAAATGAAGCAAGGCATCTGATTCCTCTCAGCACTCAGCAGGCATCGTCCTACTCCTTAGCTCTCAGCAATCTCAGCACTCAGCAATCAGGATAGGCATCGTTTTACTCCTTCTCAGCACTCGCTACCACTTGGGTTGGATGTGAGTCCCAGGACTTTCTTCCCCAATGTAGCAAATTTGCCTCGACTAGCTTTCAAGTTGAATGTGAGTTCTCATACTCTCCTTCTCAAACTGATCCCCTCATTCAATCAAATTTACATCACCCACAAATAAAATTAAAACAAAACAATAAAATCAAACAGCACATCAAATGGCACTTCCACAATTCTTAGCACTTAGCATTTGGGATAGGTGTAACACCCTCTTAAATGGAGCAAGGCTTCTGATTCTTCTCAGCAATCAGCAGGCATCGTCCTACTCCTTCTCAGCACTCGCTACCACCTAGGTTGGATGCGAGTCCCCGGGCTTTCCTCCCCAATGTAGTAAATTTGCCTGGACTAACTTTCAAGTTGAATGTGAGTCCCTCATACTCTCCTTCTCTTTCAAGTTGAATGTGAGTCCTCATACTCTCCTTCTCAAACTGATCCCCTCATTCAATCAAATTTACATCATCTACAAATAAAATTAAAACAAAACAATCAAATCAAACAACACATCATATGGCAAATTCTTTCATCCCAACAGAGTTGCCAGAATTTGTCGGCCAAAATTATATATAAATTAAATCAAATTTAAATTATTTCCAAAATTCCAATCGACAATGGAGTCAAAAGTTGAAGGTCTTGTCATATCTCGAAGCAAATCTATGAAGATAATAATCAAAATCAGCATAATACGTAACATTTCCCCAACCATTATTTAATTCTTTTATGAAGATAATTAAAGTACAATTTATTAAGTATTAATCTACTTTAAGATAAAAGCTACAATGTTATATCTTACACTTCACGTTGATTTATAAAACTAAAAGAATTAATTTACTTTTCTTATCCATAAGCATAATAATGTTAATAAAATTGATATTTAGAATTTGGATCATATATATCTTATTTTTTTCAAAGCTAGCACTAATGATGTTTGGTTTTGGAATAAGAGGCTACACTATGAAAGATAATTCAAAATAATATCTTCTTAATTTAACCAAAACTAATTTTCAATATGATTATAATTTTTAATTATAAGCATATTCTCTATTAAGAAATATATTCTTTATTAAGACTTCTACTGTTGAGCAGTTAGGTAGACAAAGAAATAGGTGAGGCCTCATGATCGAACTAACGAGAACAAAGTTTCTTCCAAGTAAGATTATAATTTAATGTGTGTAAGGTTAAAAACTAGATCTTTTTAAAACAAAATTATAATTTCTATTTCAAGACCACTCAAATTGTTCTATATGAATTTGCTTGAACCAATTAGCAACGATAACCTAATTAAAAGGGAAGAATTATTAATTTCTTGATGTTGATCATTTTTCTAAAAGCAATTAGGTTTAATTTTTAGCTTATAAGAATGATGCACTTGAAAATATCAAAAATTTTCAAAATACATTCTAAGAGAGCAAGGATACTTCATTAATATAATTCAAACCATATGTAGTGGAAATTTCAAAATAAATTATTTGAAGATTTTTGTGATGAAAAAAAAATTAGACACAAAATTTCAATCCCTAAAACTCCCAAGATTTTGAGAGCTAATATTGGGCCTAAAAAAGATGGGGGTTGGGCATGATTCCACAAAAAAAGAAAGGTTTCAAGCCCCAACTATTATCTTTAAACAAAATAATCACTAGCTCCCTTTGTGGATTAGATATGTTATTGGCCTTCTATTTCTCTATCTAAATCTAGTTGCATGCCAAAGTTGTGATTGTTTTGTACCGTATTTACAATTTATAATACTTTTGGTAGAAAACTGTATCCTTGGAAAATAAAAAATAAAAGAAAAGAATGAAGTATTATGTTTTGTGTTATCCTTTTTAATTATTGTAGTCATCTTTCTTGTCATGAGTCAGAAATTTTAGTTACAATTTTAATTGACTACTAATTTTCTATTATTTTAATTAAAATTTGTTTATATATATACTGTACTGTAAGAAATGAGTTTACATAATTATATATATAAATTCCTTTCCTTCGAATACAAAACCAATTCACTTGGCTTTTAGCTTCAATAAATTTTCAAGCATGTTAAAGCTAAGCACCTTCATTATGTCCCATTTTGGTGAAGCAAACTGCCTTTCAAATTTGGGGTGTTACAGAAGAGCACAAATGCAAGCTAATGGAGTAAAATAAAAGTGAACATCTTATGTAGTGGATGACATTATCATAACCAATAGAAATGATGGCGTCTTATTGATTAGAGAATTTTTCGTTAGAAATAGCTAGTGCTCATGAAATAGCTCAATCAAATGACTTGCAAATAGAATTTATGTTGGCAGTTCAGAATAAAGCTTTGACAGGAACAAAAATAATCTATCACAAAGCCAAAAGATGAATGCTCATCAAGCAAAAATTTTCTTCTGCAATTCTACAGTTAGAAGTAGGACAGTAAAATTATGTAGGCCCCAGTATAAAAAATGCAACTAATCATCCAGGAATCCTAGTAGGATGGTCTTACCTGGCAGAAAAATGGGCGTCCCTCCTATCCTGAACATATCCATCAATTTCTTTTTCAGGCAGCCGCTCAGCGTAGGAATGACCAAGAGATGCAGAATATTGATGATTTTGTGACTTCTGATCTGTAATCGTCAGATGTAACTAGTTTTTTAACTGAAATTTTTCACCAAAGGGATATCATAAGTACAAAACCAAGATGAACGGATAAAACCAGTGCCCTCTCTGAAATATAATGAGGCTAAGTAGCGTAGTTTACAACTCACTAAGAATCTATTTCAATGAACTTTTTGATTATATTTGCTATAAGAATAGAGTAAATCATTAGTCTGAATAGCATATCACATTACAGAAAAATGAATGTTGCACTATAGTTTGTTTGATTTTGAACTAGATACTGGAAGCACCTGAGCTGCAACCATCTAGAATATCATTAATTGAAATATTTCCTATATTTTTTCTGACAAGTGAAGGATTGGCTTCTTGTATTCGCTCTTCGGACAATGTAGTAGTAACAGCAATGCATCTGGACGTAGCAGAGAAAAAGCGGGGATTAAAGAATAAGGAAAGGGGGTTAGACCAGAAATTTTCAAATAAAGAATCTGCTATGTGAGTCTCCATGAAAAATTAATATTATAATGATCATAAACTCTAATATTAAAATTACTTTCCTAGAAAAATTGAGCAGATATTCTAGAGAAGGAAGAATCTAGGATTATTCAGGTATTTTCACCAGATGACAAAAATAAAAGAAACCTTGCAAATCTTTTACGTATCTTTGGAAAAAAAATTTGCATTATTTCTGAAATGTATCCAATTATGCATCTAGTGATTGAAGTAAGAACGGAAACAGATGCACAGACCTCATATTTGCAGCTTTGGCAGCTTGAACTCCAGCAAGGGCGTCTTCAATCACTAAGCACTAGTTAGCAAGTCTTCCAGTCAAAATCCTCAAAAGTGAGTTATGCGTAAAGATAAATATTTTATAATTAAAAGGTGTATAAAAATGTAGATGTTCAACTAGTCCGCAGAAAAATAAAAAAATAAAATAAATAGAATTGCAAAAATCCATTTGAACAGACAAGACCAAAAAAAAAATTGTTTGATCACAAATTGTGTAAACTAGGAAGATACTAGAGACCAGATTATTTGTAGCAAACTGACATAACGAAACAACTAAATATCGAAGTTTATCAATTTGTGATAGCAGCTTCTCAGCTCTCACAACTGAATAGGTTTCCTAACAGCTCACAATAGAAATTAAATGGACACTCCAGATATACAATTAAGACGTTCAATTTGCAACATAAACCATCATCAGTGAGATAACTCGAGTCAGCTATTATTTCTGAACACCAATAATCCAAAAGAGAAGATATGAAAAGTTTTCCAAAGAATAGCAGAAAGAAGAGCACAGCCCAGCCAAAAAGTTATTAAGTACAGAATAAAACCAAAGCTCAAATAAAAGTTCCAGATAAATACGTTCAGCTTTAAGCAAATAGGTTATCATTATTTGCAGAAAAGACAAGTAGATGAGTTATCATTTTCTCCAAATGATTCCAGTCATATTCATGAACATTTGGTACAGTCTCACTAGGACTAATGCCGAGTCAGGTTTGAGCAAATTTTTTACAGCTCAATCAAAAACTTCAATTGTTGATCAAGTTAAAGTCAAAAATAACTCAGTTTGAGCCAACTTGAATGTAAATAATAATGCTCTAAGACAGCCCAAAATCAATTTTAGAGCCAAATCAAAAATGATTTATTACACTCAACTATATGTACACACAAAAAATTGACAAGCCAAACCCACCAATCCACAAAGTCTGCAGGCCAATCCGTGACAAGCCGATTCAAACCCACCAATCCATGGAGGAAGTTTGCAGGCCAGTTCGTGACAAGCCTGGTCACCCAATTATCACGTAAAGTCCGTTTATGGATGACTTCAAACAAAATCCACGCAGAAGCAAGCTTAACAACCACGGCATTAGCAACACATTAGATCGCACAAGGCTCATGGTAGATAGCTAGAGCCACCTAGCAAATCACATAAAAACAAGACTGAGAGCTCGCCCTACAACAAATTTAGGGCCTTCCCACAGCTAATTCGACTTCAAGGAGTTCAAGCGATTATTAAAGGCGTTACAGTATCATTTAAGCATCAGTGGTCATTACAACTCCCCTGCGTCGTAAAATATGCTTCAATATCAAGCATCTTCATATATTTTTATAATATTTTCATTTATGTCTTTAATCGAGATCCCTTTTTCATATATAAATAGAGAATCATCATAAGATATATGAAAAACAAACTATAATAGTAATAATACGAGCTTAACCTCTTTTCTCCCCACACTCTTTGACATTTCACCTTCACCCTCTCTTCCTATAAACAAACTATAATAGTAATAATAGACATTAATATCATATGTTGCCAATTGAACGCAAACCCTATTATACAGCTGATCAAGGAAAAAATCGGCTAGTCATCATGATTCTAGCTAAGCCAATTCGTCAAGTGACACAAAAGCTATTCCAACTCGGCTTCATTAAGGATGTGACATACCCAAACTAGATCCCCCCAATATGTCAAGGTCTAGAAGTCAAACAAAAATGACAGATATGTGTGAACTTCTTTAAAGTCAACTCAGCATGCCCAAAGTATAACTACATGTTCCCACGCATCAATGCCTTCATTGAATTGACAGTCAACTATCCTGTAATGAGTCTTCTAGATGCTTTTTCGGACTACCATCATATCAAAATGCTTTTGGTGAACTATGAGAAATCTTCTTTTATTAATGTAGAAGGGGTATAGTGTTACACTGTAATATCATTTGACTTTAAAAACATCAGGTTGATTTATCATATGATTATGTATGTAATACTTAAAAATCAAAAAGAAAATAATTTTTAAATATATGTTGATTATGTCTTAGTTAAAAGTAAAAACTCTATACAACATATAACTAACCTAAAAAAGTCATTTAGCACTATATAAAAGTTTTACATAAAACTCAAACAACAAAAAAGCACATTCGGGGTCGTCACAAAAAAATTTTTAAGCTTTTGACTCATCCCAGCTTCAAAGTCAATCCGAAAAAACTGCAAGTCATACTTAACATGTCCTCACCTTAAACCATTAAAGAGTTAACAAATATTAACAGATCCAATAGCCATACTAAGTAGATTCATTTTCGGATTGGGAGACAAATGCTCAAACTTATTCAAAGTACTCTAAAGAGCAAAGTGCATTGCCTACAGCAACAAGTGAGAGAAGGCATTCACACATCTAAATACACTTATATCCTCACCAAGCTTGCTACAAATTCAGACACCAGAGAGTAATTTATTTTGTATCTGGAACTCATCGAAGAGAACATCAGCATGGGCCTGGTCAAGAAGGAAGGCCGCAAACAATTCTCGATATACTACACCAGCGAAGTCTTAAGAGATGCCAAACTCGGGTATCGATCATGGAGAAACTGTTGTTCACTCTAATTGGGTGTCAAACGGAGATTTCCTTTTCGAATTCACTGAGGCCTAACTCAAGAAATTCAAACACTTACACGAGCATTTAGGTTGGCGAGTTTGTCAACTACTGGAGACTAGAACCATCTTGCCAACTATTAAGGACCAAAGGCGCAAACGGGTTACATACTGGTCAACGCCAAACTATTCAGAAAATCAACCACAGTCCCATATCTAAGATACATTCATGAAATAAAGGTCAATGATATTCTAAAGTAAGTCCATTCGAGAGAGTGCAATAGTCACTCCAATAGTTGAACTCTAGCAAATTGCGTACGAAGAAAATATAATACTTTTGGTTGAGTTTGAGATAAGACAGAAAATAGTTCTCCTAAAAATGCATCCAATGTCGGAAATATACAACGAAGCGACTCTAAACTTTGCACAAGATGCAACCAATGTATACACCATAGCCCTTTGCATTTTGGGAAATGGATATCTTTGTTCTTTTTTTTTTCCATTGACCAAAGAGCAAAAAAATGCATCATAATTGCAATAGACTACTTCTAAAATGAATCGAAACAAAAGCTCTAACCAAGACAATTGCCATGATAATTCGCAACTGTGTATGAACTAATATCATTTGCATATACACCTTGCCGATGGTAAGCATCAATGACAATGGCAATCTATTCCCCTAAAAAAATAAAGGGATTCTACCAAAACCAAAAAAATCAACCTCAAGTACATCTTGGTATATCACCCTAATAATAACCTCATTCTCAAAATTTTGAAAAGGAAAATCAAAGAAGCTAAGGGGAAGTGGGTCAAGTTGCTACCATCAATACTTCGTGCAGTTCGCAACATTCCAACTACCAAAATCAACCAAACATCCTTCATCCTATCATATGGAGCTAAGTGTGGGGCAGCTTCTTTTCCAAAAAAACAGCTCTAAAATTGCTTCTTAGAGAAGCAGTTTCTAAGGAACTGACAGAAAGCTGCTGATAGAGAAACAGGAGTTTGTTTGGGAGATTTGTTGTGCTACTGTTGTTTCCGATGAGAAAGTTTGTTTTGCCCTTATATATGTAATATATTCGAATAATTGCAGTCTTCAGAATAATTACAATATAACAACAGAAAGAAAACCTATTACACAAAAAAATTTAGTACAGTATAAATACTCTTATACATAAAAAAGTGATCAATAATTTAAAGCATATATCTACCATAATGAGGACAACCACAATAACCAAGAAGCTTAGAATAATGTTCGTCTGCAAGTCCTGACGACCAAGTCTTTGGAACAATCTCCTCTCCATAACAGCATCTCTCCTCACCTAATCACAGTCTGGAGCGAACTTATCAATGTCATCGACTCAATGAAAAAACTAGCATCTTCAGAAGTCCTGTTTCCGGGACAAGAATAATATCTTCTCCCATAACAGTCTTCACTTCTTGATTGGTACTTAACACACTTATCGCCACAATGGCAAACTAGAACTCTTGAAGTATCTGATGCTCTTGAACTAACGTTTCCTATTATTTTAATACACGATAGCTTCATTTGAGAAAAAAGATAAATATTTGAAAGAAGCATTAGAAAAAATTTAAACTGTTGTATAATAAAAACTGAAAGGCAATTAGGACGCATCAAAAAAATTACAATACAAATCTGTAGAAAGATAAAAAAAATTTACATCCACACAACGAACGAGCAGCAGAAATATGAATCATCAATAAAAAATTATTAGGAGATTCTAAATAAATATAGTTGATGGGTTCACCAAAGCATCGATGATTTCTTCTCTTGTAACATCTATTGCACGTCTTGTCCCTCGGACGTATTATACTATGTCGTACTGAAGTCCTCATCAGGAACTGAATATCCGGCCCATTATTGGTTAGCTTTCTCAGGCATGCAGGCAGGATCTTCATCTAAGACCCTGAAATCGATATCATCTCGGGATGGATGCCTCCATATAAAATTATGAAGTAAAATGGTTGCAACGGCAACCTTCAGCTATTTTTTGAAAGAGTATATCGAAATCTCTCCGAATAGGACCAACTTTTTTTTTCATACACCAAATGTTCTCAATGTCACTCCGTAAAAAACGAGTGTCTTTTATTGAAGAGTTCATTCCTCCATCTAATCAATTGGCTACAACACTCAAAATCAATAATTTGATACCCCGTGTCTGGAAATGGTTTGAAGAAACTATGTTGCAATGGATAACTCAAATCGACTAATGTTTTCTTGAATAAAGACATCATTAGCGCACCTCCTAAATTAGAAATATTATTTTGATCTCTAAAATGTACAAACCTTAAGAAGACATTGAAAGCTTCTATTTGTGTCGCCCGTTTGCAAATTTGAAAATTCTGCTATCGTGGACACTGCCATCACAGCTAGTCATCATCATAACTGTAAAGCACATGTCGAAATCACACATTGTTGAGATTGGAGGATATTGTTTTTAAAAATTTTCGGAACGCTATGAAAGGAAAAGTTCAGCCCAGCTGCATGTTCTCCCCTTCGTGAGCAAAGCCTCCAAGCTAGATCGTGACAATCTTCCACCCTCTTTTCATCTTATGTTGTAATTCATTGATTTGTGGAATCCCAACTTCCGAGTCATCAATTCAAGATTAATAGAATTATTATATAATTATCAATCAATGCACTACTATATAAAAATTTATAATTATTATTCATTATTTTGCATATTTTCTGTTAGATTCTCTCCTAAAATTATTAAAATATGAATGTTGGAATGAAATATTCCATAAATGGTCTCTAATTCTTCAGCAAAAAACTGGATCAAAAAGGCTAAATAAGCATAGGAGATTTCTCACCAACCAAAGTTCTAATAGTAATCAAAGAATAGTATAACAATAAAGCAAGCAAGTGCATCTAGAAAATGCCAGATTTTATCTTCAAGACATAAGATATAAACTTGGCAGCAGAAAAGGAAAAATTGCAGTCATCATTCACCATCATCCATGCGTATGTACATTCGTATTGCAAGGACGCTCTTAAAGCTTGGCACGCATAGTTATCCAGTTTAATAGTTTTGTTTTTAAAGCTAGGTGCCAAAAACGAAAGATCAATTCTACAGCTGCCACTGTTAGGACTTGGCAGTCCTAAAATAAGTAGAAAATTATATTGAGAAAATACTTGGAACTAGTAGAAAAAAAGAAAAGGTTGGATTGTGACGTGACGATTGCCTGTCCCTAACCAGCAAGTACAGAAAAAAAAAAGACATGCTTAAACAGGAGGTCACTTACTACTTTTTAGTGTACAGATCATTGAAAGACCGTGCCATCAAGAAAATCCACAAAGAACATGACTGGTGCAAAATAAATAAGGCCAAAAAAGAAGGAAAACTAAATGGAGAGAAAGCGCAACTATAAAATTAAAACCAAAAAAGCAAAGAATAAATTTATAGTTGCAATTTGAAGATGCAAGATAACAATATACTAAGACTTGAATTAGGGATGACCGGTAAAGACCGGTAAAGGAGCTTTCAAACAATTAACCTAGGAATGAAGTTGATAATGATCATGATAAAGGTTAAAAATTAAGTCCTCGTTTTAAGAAAAGCCTATTTTACAGTTTTACATAATCTTTCAGGTAACTGAAAGTACACATCTATCTATAAGAAATTATACAACATACCTCTGAGGGGGGGACATTCAAACATTTTGATGCTGCTAGGAAAATATCTGGAGCAGGTTTTAAATTCTCGAAAGCATCAGCAGATATGATAGCATCAAATCTGATTAAAAATAATGAAAGCGGCATTCTACATTAGCAAGGAGTTCTTCTAAAAATCGGACAAAGTTAATAAATGTTCTCATCAAAAAAAAACACGAGAGAGAGAAAGAGAGAGCTACAGAAAATACTAATATAAAGGAAAATTTTCAAGCATGCTAATAATTAAATGTTGGCTTGAAAAATAAGACCTAATTAATGAATTTAAGTCTATGGCCCCAGCATTAACTACATCCATCCTGGCAGCAAATCTAAATGTTTCCCCATTATCAACATTGCAACCCTAAGAAATGATTTCTCTCATTAGGAGTTGTTTGTTTGGATGCTTCAAGAATGTCGAGTAAATCAAATATAAAGGATTGGAAATTCCAAGAGTTCGTTTAGAAAAAAAAATGGATTCAATGTAATTTATTACGAAATTTAGAATTCTTTGTTAGTTCAATTTCAGGGTATTCTAAATTGGCCCAAATTAGGTAAATTCAGGATACTTGGCATTACAGTACTTCTTTCTATGCAACTACAATAATCACACTATATGTAAATTCTCTAATTTTAGTAGGGTCATACTTCCACGAATCCATTTATTAATTGTAGGCGTTTATTGTCCCACGGTGATGTGTAATTATTTTTTTCTTAATTTTCCTAGAGAGATTTGTAAATATCTTTTATATTGAATTGTTGCATCATCATTATTCTTACTCAGACATAGCTTGTATTGATTATCTTGAACCTTTTAGCAACATTATATTGTACCCTTATGACACTCAATAGGACACAATGGAAGAAAAAGGATTCATGTAGCCGACTTCACTTTGTGAGATAAAGGCTTGTTGTAGCTGTATAAATAAGTCATTATAAACTTTTAAAGCCCATATCTCTATGTCCTTTCAAAATGATTCACTTCATAGTCATCATTAACAACTTCTATAATTCCTTCAACAACATTTGCAACCACAAGAAATGCAACATCTACTTGAGCATTGTTCAAGGTTTGATCACCAATAGAGTTAGCATAAGATAGTAGAACTAAGAGATTGTGAACTATTAAAAACTTGATACAAGGTGTTAGACAGATTAAATACCTAACACTATTCAATAACAATATTTTATTATGATATTCTTATGGCATGTAATATGTATCAAATTTATGATAATATTTGATATCACACTACACATAAAAAGCTAGTAATATTTTTTGCCATGAAGTTAATGGGATTGGTTTTTTAAACTTTAAACAATAAACATTATTTGTGATTTTTTACTAGATTTATCTTTTATTTTTTCCCTGACCTCATATACATACAAGAAATCTAAAGAATTTTTCCGTGACAGAACTATTTTATTGTTTTATGTGAACTAAAAGAAAAAGTACTAGCTTTTTGTTTTGAAGTGAGGGCCAAGCTTATGAAGATAAACATGATATCAGCTTTATGGAGACAAAAGCATATAGTTTATGTTGAAAGATCTAGTATTTTATAATGATGATTATATTCTATTTTTATTATAACTCTATATTTAGAGGGTTATAAATTGTATGAGGGATCTTAGGAATCTCTATTTACTTATCTCCTTAATTAGAGAGATTAGCTGTCTCTTATATTTATTATTATTCCTTTCCTTGTCAATGATATTCTGATTTTATTGTTTTCCTTACTAGTAAGTCCTGCAATGTGTATTTATACCCCTCCTTGCATTAATAAAAATAAGCCCTCTAATATTTTTTCACTGTTTTTTCATGGTATCAGAGAGGTTGAATATTTAGGAGTTGTTCGATCTTAGAGTCGTCTGCTTCGCCTGTTCGATCTCAATCCAAAAACTATCCGCGATCCTCTGCTCAATCTCTACCGCTCAATCCCGTCTCGTGAAAGTTTGCCTGGAGAGGACCTATTAGACGCTCGATCTGTACCGCTCTATCCCGTCTCGCGAAAGTTCGCCTGGAGAGGACCTGTTCGACGCTCGATCTTGGAAGTTCGGCGCTCGATCCCGTCTGCTTCGTCTGTACCGCTCACCGCTCGACCTTAGAACTGTTTGACACTTGGTGACGCTCGATCTGTTCGCCTGGGAAGCGCGATCTTGGAGAGCGCAAAGGCAGAAATTCAATTCTCCAAAGGAGCTAATATGTTGCTTCGTCGAAAGAACCCCAAAAATATCTAAAGTCACGTCTAGGGCAAACCAGCCTCTTCAGTCATCTCAGTCCGAACCTTAGAGAAATACCTCTGAAAATCATCCCATGTAGATCACTACAATCCACTAAATGATGATAATTTTCTTCGATGGTCACAATCTGTTCGCATGAATCTACGAGGAAGAGGAAAGATTGGTTATGTCAGAGTTGATACTAAAAAGTCTGATGTGAATGACATAATTTATGTCATTTGGGATGCGGAAAACTCAATGATAATGATATGGTTGGTCAATTCAATGACTAAAGAGATAAGTGCAAATTATCTATGTTACTCTACAACCAAGAAATTATGGGACAATGTTTCAGAAATATACTCTGATCTTAGAAATCAATTCCAAGTGTATGAATTGACCCTACGACTTGGGGAAATTTGCCAAGGAGATGATTCTGTAACAAAGTATTTCAATTCTTTTAAACGAATTTGGCAGGATCTGGACTTATTCAACGATCATAAATGGAAATCAAAAGATGAGAACAACTAGTACAAGAAAATAGTGGATACTGGCCGAATCTTTAAATTTCTTGCGGGTCTAAACATGGAATATGATGAGGTTCGTGGTTGAATAAACGGAAGAAATCACTGCCTCCAATTGGTGAAGTTTTTTTGTGGAGGTAAGGAGAGAAGAGAGTCGGATACGTGTAATGTTGGGAAAGAAGATTGTAGGTTCAACCGAGTCCGTGGAAAGATCAGCACTGGCTATTCCTGAAGCTCAAGTAAGCAAGAAAACCTCTCACATTCAGCGTTTGGAAAACAAAAACAACCTGCACTGTGACTATTGTGGAAAGCCGCGTCATACTCACGAAAAATGCTAAAAATTGCAAGGTGAACCACCTAATGGTAAGGGAAAAAATCTGGAGAGCATAGAACACCTACCGCAAATGAGGCTGAGTTCTTAAACTGTTGAAATCTAGCTCATCATCCAATGCTCCTATCGGTTCTATAGCACAAACAGGTAATAATCCTTTGGCTTTTTTAGGAAGTATCACTCCTTGGATCATTGATTCAGGAGCCTCTAATCATATGACAAGCTGTTCTCAATTATTTGATTCATATTATCAATGTTCCAGTTCCGAAAAAATCAGAATTGTTGATGGCAGTTTCTCACTTATTGCAGGAAAAGAAAATATTAAAATTTCAGAAAAAATCTCTTTGAAATTTGTCTCACATGTTTCAAAACTTACATGTAATCTTCTTTCTGTTAGCAAATTGTCTAAAGATTCTAATTATTCCATTTTTTTTCTCCTTCCCATTGTGATTTTCAGGACCGGAACTCGGGGAAGATGATTGGAACTGCTAGAGAAATAAATGGGATGTACTACTATGATGGAATTGATTCTGCGAATAAAACAGCTCATGGAGGTAGTACAAGTTCAAGCTTTGACTATGATCAAGTTATGTTATGGCATAAAAGATCCTCTCGGTGGCATATGGACTCTGTGATGTATTATGGATAAAAAAACTCCTGGAAGAGTTGAAGATTCCTATACCAGCACTTATCAAAGTTTACTACGACAACAATGTTGCAATCTCTATAGCTCATAATCTAGTTCTACATGACAGAACAAAACATGTAGAAGTTGACAAACATTTCATCAAGGAGAAGATAGATAGTGGTGTGATATGTATATCCTACATACCCACTGCTAATCAAACAGTAGATATTCTAACAAAAGGTCTTTCTAAAGCGCAACACGAGATTTCAGTTAGCAAGATTGTCATGAGTGACATCTTTATATCAGCTGAGGGGGAGTGTTGAAAGATCTCATATATAATGACCATTATATTCTATATTTATTATAACTTTATATTTCGAGGGTTATAAATTGTATGAGATATCTTAGGAATCTCTATTTATTTCTCTCCTTAATTAAAGAGATTATTTGCCTCTTATATTTGTTATTATTCCTTTTCTTGTCAAAGATATTCTGATTTTATTGTTTTCCTTATCAGTAAGTCCTGTAATGAGTATATATACCTTCCTTGCATTAATAAAAATAAGCCTTCTAATATTTTTCCACAGTTTTTTCAGTTTAATATATATTGTCACAAAATTAAAATAAGAGTTGTAGGATACAAATCCTTTACTAGTCCTAAACTCTTGTAAGAATCTTTTCCTTGTGGGTTAAGATGTTGAGTTATAGATCACACACTAATGTGTTGATAAGAAAAAAATTTAATAAAACATATGCTAATGGATCACGAAAGAGCTTGCGTGAGTCTCAAACACGGCATACTCTCTCTCAAGAAAGTAGAATCGAGCTACAAGGGAGACTAAGGCAGCGTTTGACGTCGTGTTTTTCACGCAGCACGGCCCAAAAATGCAGGTTTTAATTTTTTCCCTTGTTTGATAATTGCAGCGTGGCGGCGTTTTATAAAATTTCGATAAAACGATTCGTTTGCCCCCCCCCCCCCCCCCCCCCGGGCCCGCCGGCTCCCTTGTGACCGAGCTTCTCTCTCGAGTCCCGCTCTCCCCTCTCTCGCGATTCTGCCCTAAAGGTAAGATCCCTGCTCCCCTCCTCTCCAATCTGTGGCTCAGTTAGCAAGGCTTTGTCTGTGGGTGGTTACGTTGCTCTCCATATCCCCTCTGCTCTTCGGCTTTGTTTGGTTCCTTTGCTCTCCCTCGGTCCACGGTATTCTCTACCACTATATTTTCTGAAAATTTGATTGTGCAATGATTTTAGCTTCTCTAAGCACTATTCGGTCGATGATTTTCGGTTGGTTGTGCATTGTCGTTGGATTTTGCAATTTCTGTGATTTTGGAGGTTCTCTAATTTTGGTTATTTACGATTTCTTTTGTTGACTGATGTGATGATGTGGT